ATTATTTATAGAACTTTTAGCCATATTTTTTTCCCCTCCTTGGAAGGAATTTTGTATCGAGCATCATTTTGCACTATCCCCCTTTGTTTTTTCCAGGTTCTGTGAATTCCCTGCTGCAGCTTTTTGGGTGCCCCTCCTCACTTCCTCTCTTTCCCTTGCAAGGGGACATCTACCATTGTGAATTTAATGTAATATCTTTTGGTAATGCCCAGCCCTCCTTGGGTCCTTTATYTGTGGGCTCTTTTCCCAAGATATTGTGTGTGAAACTACTCTGAAATCCTTTTCTTTTTTTTTTAAATTTCACTTCCTTCTCATAGGAAACTTTTTTTTTTTAATATCTTCCTCAAATATCACCCACTTTTCTACCTTTCTGTCAAGACAAAATGCATCAGAGTTACCCCTTCAATGGCTGCAGTTGGCTACACACAGGCCAAGAGTTTGGTGACTGTTTTGAGTCCCACAGCATTTCTCCTGCAGACATCTAGGGAGGCAGATAAAGTCTCCTCAAATTGGATTCCTACAGTGGTTTTATTGAATGGTGGAGTAAAGCTGGTTTGCACTGTCTTTCAGCCTCGGGGACCTCACGGGGGTTGGAAAGGTGGCAGCATTTCTGTCCCACAGTCTTCCCTCAGAGATACCCAACTCTCCTGGTTCAACCCAAAAACCAATTCCTGTATGTTTACACATCTTCCCCTTCTCCTTGCTAGCTCTGAATAAGCTGCGTGGTGTTTGCCCTCAGGAAGGCTGAGGGAGCCAGATCAGCTCCTCAGTGCGTGGCGTGCAGCAGTGCCCATGCCTGTCCCCACGTGCTCATGGGCATCTCAGACATGGAGCTCACGTTGTTCCTCCTCTTGCTCCTCCTGCTACACAGGTGTGACACCTCCCTCCCCATCTCTTTCCTCTCGTCCGTGTTTTTCCACTCCAACAGACAGACCCCTGCTGCCCCCACACTCTTCCTCACGGACCGCAGCTTCACCAGGCTGGAAGGTGCCGACCCTCTCCCGCCAAGGCCATCTGCTTGTCAGCCTGCGCTGCCCGCCCCGCGTCCTGGCCAGCYGCCCTCCTGCTGGGGCCGCAGTCACTTCGGATCTGCGCAGGGCCRCACGGGCACAGCGTGGGGGCAGCGGCCAGGAGGCCACGTGAACCTTGGCARCTCAGCTCGCGCTGGGGAAGGCACCGCCGGGGCTACATGGGGCRCTCTGCCCCTTCCCGCATGGGGTCTGCAGCCCTCATGTCCCCTGAGGGCGGCTTGTTGGGTGGCAGGGCTGCTCCTTGCGGGCGCACGTGGACGCCGCTGAGCYGAGGCACAGCCAGACACGTTGGGATGAAGCCCCCAAGTGCAGCCGGAGGCGGCCGGTCTGAGCTGGAAGTGGCTGCCTCGCGCTATGCGCCCGCYGGCCGTCACTGAGGCCCTGCGTGGGCTGCGCCATGTTGAGCGCCGTGGTGGCCATCATGTGGCGATGCCTCTGCCCGGCCCCGGGGTCCAGCGGAGCTCCCGCCGCCTGGCCCTGGGGGATAAGGGCCCTGGCCCTCCCCTGCCTCCAGCCCGCTGGGCTTTGCTCTTCCCAGATACTGCTGCCGCAGCCCCTATGGGCGGCCGTGCTCCAGCAGCCCTAYGCGTTGTCGCTCCATGAAGTTGGGGTGAAAGCGCAGCCAGAATTTGGGGAGTGATGCCCAGCAAACTTGGCCTTTCCAAACCCAACCTGTGGGATCCCTTTTCCCCCACAGCCTCCTGCCCCGGCCAGGGGCTGGTGGCACCTTCCAAGAAGCGGTTGTGAAAATATGTTTAACACACCACCGCCAGCAAACGGACACAACAACTAATCAGCTGCCGTCAGGTTATCGCCTCCACAACTGCCTGGCTTTTCTGAGAAAAGGGTATTTTATCAGGCTTTTCACCAGGAGACCCAGTAGGGATGCTGTGRGCAAGCGCGGATGGGGTGCTCCTGGCCTCCTGGTAGGAAAAGGTTGAAAAAGACCAAAAAAGAGGCAAAACTTTTCAGGAGCATCCGTGCCTGAGCGGAGGATTTACTGGCTGCACTGGGGAAATGAGTTAATCCAACCCCAAGCCAAGTGTGTGCAYATATACATATATATTTATTATGTRTGTGTATATATATGTATAAAGCCAGGGCACATTTAGATAGCCATCATATAGGGCATGGTGGCCAGACATGGACAATAAGATCTTTTCCAGCAGCACCTTGATAACCACGTTGGAGCTGGATGAAGTCAAGTATCCCTGCAAGTTAGCTGCAATATMCAGGTTGCGCTTGGCTGTTCGAGGCTGTTTCAGCAGGATTGGCCCCAGACTCGAGGCTGACACTTCTTCCCAGTCTCCTTCATTTTCTGTCCTCAGGCACCTGGGATTTCCCGGGACCCAGGCACCCGCTGCTGCCAGTGGCTGGGATTTTATTACGGAGCCTGAAATAGTGAGTTCCACCTTTCTCTTGCAGATGCCACGTGGATGCTGCCAAGTTGCAGAACTTAGTTTCTTTCTGAAGTAAATTTCTCGCCTGGGAGGTTTGGCAGAGAAAAGCTCCCCCAGTCAACCTCCAGTGCCAGCGAGRTCTAAACAAAAGGTGCCTGTAACGTTAATTTGCTTGAAAAAAAATCATGATACTATACCAATCTTCTGATTTTTTTTTGCAGCTTTTCCATGCGAGGAGAAGATAATGCTGGGCGCTCGTTATCTGCAGCRCCGGGGCTCCTGCCGGCAGCAACGTATCTGCTCCACGGGCGCCTCCRGGCAGCTGGTCCACACAGCACACGCGGGAAACAGGCGCCGTCTGCTCCCACCTCGGGCCAGGGCTCTCTCCTGTTGCCAGCTCACCTTATTTTTGCAAGAACCCACCCAAATGGGAAGAATGGGAATGCTCAGCATGAGACTGTGCAATGGAGAGCGACTTCCCGCGTGTCCCCGGCTCTGACAGCTTCATGGGCCGGGGACGGCGCTAGAGCGATTTCACTTTGCCCAGAGCAGAAACCTTAA